TGTTTCAAGAAACAATAGACAAGTTGGGCATGATTGACATCTTTGCACCAACTTGAGGGGAATGTTGAATTGTGTAATTTAAATTTCAAGTTACTGTTATGAGTTGTTAGGCTCTTGCAATTTACTAAGTTATTGTTATGAGTTGTTAGGCTGTTACAATTTATTTGAATAGGAGATTTGATTAGATCAGATTTGTTGTATATAATTAAGATTAGATCAGCTTGTTATTATTTGAAAGTTGTTGAACCACTTTTGTATATATAAAAACCTCATATTGAGGGAAAAACTATCGATGACGGTAATGGCATTCATCTGTATTTACTGGTGTTATTTTTTAACAAAAAGTTTATTAATAATGTTTATTGACATTCAAATTGTGGGGTTATAGTCCAACTCAAGATATACACATGGTTTCCACCTTACTGCCAGCGTACACTTGAACGCTTCCATGTTTGAACTAAAAGCTGTGCATATATACGAAAGCAACTTCAATTGATGGAAAATTCAATAAAATTAGGGGTACATTGTTTAAGCAAATTTCATGAGATTGTGTAAGAAATCATAAAACATGATTATATGAAATTATAATACTAATAAGGCTTTAGGCTTTTTTATTGAAGACATAATTCTTGATTTTTTGAAAGACTTCTTACTAGCTTTGATTTTCCTGCAATATTGAAAGACTAGGATTTTTTTATGCAATTCACATTATTTCTTGTTTACAATTTTTGATTGACAAGTTTTGGAGCGACTGTTTTTCAACATTCTATAAATGTAGAAGAGATTTAACTAAACTTATTAATCATAATTTCTTTTCTATCACGAGCTTATAGATTAAACTTATACTATTATCCACACTAATTAATTTACAGATATTCAAGCCCAAGCAAAAAAAATCGCTCAATTAACTGGGCTTTATAATGCACTTCATATGAATTTAATTTAACTCACTTTTAATAAAACAAGAAAATAAATATAATTGATTGCATACTGTAATAATTATAAAAAATCTAACATACCAAAAATAAAATGTAAACCAAATAACGATTATGCAATATATAAACACTCTATTTAAATATCGCTTTTCTCATATAAATTATTAAGAATAATTTTATTATTTCTAAATTTTAACTAAAGTTATTATTTCATATTAATAATTATACAAAATTAATTATGAATAAAATTATTATGTATATAGTATTAATTATAAATAAAATAGACCCCTTTTTTTTTTTTTTTTACCCAATGAGTGCAGCTCAGTTGGTAACTTGACGCTGAGTTAGTGGGGTTGAATATGTGTTTGATTCCAGCTGAATGCATTCTTGGGGAGGGGGCTGAACCTTTAGTCATCACTGTTCCCCGCATTCCGGATTAGTCCCATAGCCGATTCAAAGAGTCGAAGCTCGTGAAGATACCGGAGGGAACCAACTCGTCTCAAAGAAGATAATTAAGATTGGGTAACTCAAAAAAAAAAATAGACACTTTTTTGTATTATTCCATGTAACACATGATAAGTTATTACATTGTCGGCGTGCATCTTCCCTCACAGAGAAATGAGACACCAACATTGTCCGTTGTTGCCCGTTTGGTGCCGATGTCACCGTCACACATATCAATGCATCATGACACCGTCACACATATCAATGCATCATGATATTGATGGCATGGCCAGCGGTCACAGCGCTTATAACAAGAACTCACAAGTCACAACTATTACGGCGCGATTGTGTCAAGCTTTATGGAAATGAAGATAATAATACAGTAGTTTTATGATGATGAACGAAAATGTTACATTTTTATAAAAATAAAAGTATTTTAAAACCCCATAAATCTTTTAGGAAATTTTTTATTGTTATTGAAAAATAATTTTCTTATGTTGTAAAAACAAAATTGCAAGTGAGATCCATAGATAAAAAGAAAAGAAGAAGAAGAAGTGTGACTCATCCATATTTTACGTGTGTAAAAAATTTAGTTATTTTATACAAAATGAGATAAATATAAATTAAATCTTTTACAATTTTTTAACAAAACAAATTTTAAAAATTATTTAATACTAACACATATATTTTGAAATTTATTAAAAGTAGGGGATATTATATTAAAAATATAAATACATCAGATCATATTTGAAATAATAACTATAAAACGACTTCGTTTTAAAATAGGGTTCCTGTTGCTGTCCTTGTCCGTGTCATTATAACGGTGCACGTGGCAAGACATTTAAACGCAAACTACAAAAAAGACATGGTTAATTGAAAACACACACACTTCACGAATCTTGATGGTCCAACAAAGACAAAGTACTTAATATTAACCTCGCCACTGCATTTAAACGCGTTTTGTTTGGAATGATAACGTGATCACATGTGACCTCGCCACCTCGGTTTCCTTTCCAATACTAGTCGAACCATTTATTTCAATTTTACACATTATTTTCCTTCACATTCTTTTTTTATGAAAATAATCCTTCGCAATAGTTCACAGTTCAAGACGAAAATAAATTAAAAGGAAAAAAGGGAACCTATTCATATTCTTCTTGAACTTGACCGTATGTAATCAGTCCCCGAACTGTATAATTTTTTTGTGACTGTTACAATGATTTTTTTATTAATTTATATTTTATCATAAGATTCGAATGACATATTACTTCAAAATATTAATAAATAATATTGCCGGTCAACTCTTTATTTATTTATAACTATATCTCTTCGTACTAGATTATTTTTTATTTGATAGTTAATTATATATATCTCTTCGTACTAGATTATTTTTTTTTGATATATATATATATATATATATATATATATATATATATATATATATATCGTTGTCAAATGATACTAAACATCCTCTATTGTCTCCTAGAAGTATCCAAACCGAGTTCCGGTAAGAAATAAAGATCATAAATAATAAATGGTTACGAATAAAACAAATACTAGGTGCATATTTGTCAATAAGCAAGTAGTCATGTGTATATCACATAGCTCTGACTGACAACCATACAATTTAGATGGAAGGAGCTATCCACTTTTGTATGTTAAATTATAATACATATTCTTAAAAGTAATTTAATCTTTTGATTTTTTTTGTATAGTATTCTTACATTTTTGTTGAAAATTTGTATTTATCTAATTAATTATGCATATTTTGTTAATTTTAAATATTTTATGCTCTACTGAAATCAGCTATGCATATTTTGTTTAGAAATTAAATATTATATTCTAAAGATTACGTTTTCAATTTAATTCTAATGTTTGTATTTGAAATTAATTTTTCATTAAAAAACAAAGTTCATATATACTAAAATAACGGTCCTATCTACCAACAAATTAGCGGTATTTATTAGCATATTTTTATTGTTATTCTTGCTAATTAATTTACTAATGATTAAATAAACATCAATGTATCTTCTATGGCGTGTAACTCACAAAATTTTTATACTAGTACAAATAGATTCTCCATTTTGTTGTTCAACATTTTACCCCCTAAATTTATCATTATTAATTAATGATTTCAGATTTTTTATTAAAAAATAAACTGTAAAACATTTTGTCAGTCATATATAAATCTTTAAATATTTCTTCATATTTAGTTACACTTATTTTTTTTTTTTTTTGTAAATAGTTACACTTATTTTTAAAGGCGTGGTTATATATCTATCACTTTTATTTTTCTATCTTTATTATTCTTTTGAATGGATTCAAATTAATTGTTTCAAATATTAAAAAATTCAAAAAATAAACAATTATAACAAAAAACTTAAGTTTGCAGTTGATGCACCATGCAACACTTACCTTTAGGCTACAATTAATTATTAGTCAAAATGCATCTTTTAATATAATTGTTACATATTTTAATATAAATTCAGTTTAATCAGTAACCCACCAATTAAATTAGTGATCTATTAATCTAGTATCCCAACTGGCGAGTTTAATAACATTGGAGGGGAATGTAATAATAATATTTTTTAAATTTTGTTGTAAGTATAAACAAAATAAGGAACCTGCCGGAGTAATTGATTATTTTTGTTTAATTTTAAAGTGTTTGAAACTGCTAATTTAAATAAAATCAAACAGTAAAAAATAAAGGTAATAAGTGGAGCAAAATTAAATGGTAGTCAATATAACAATCTCATTTTAAATATTCCTTAACTTATCTTTATGTAATAATAATTAATTTAAATGAGGTACATAAAAAAAGGCAAAATAAAAAGTTCTTTGGCCAAATTATATGACTGAAGTATAAACACAGATATATTTCATTACTTGCAGTTCATTATTTATTACTTTCTTCAATTTAAAATAGTTATATTTAAATTATTATATATAGCAAAAAACACTCTGTGAAAGAATTTTAATTATAAATAGAATTAAATTTGATTAAATTATTTTTTTAACAAAATATTCAAAACATTTTTAATTAATTAATGATTTATCTCATCATTTTAGTCACTAAGTATAAAAAGAGTTAATAATAAAATTAATTATTATTAATATTTTATATATTTTTAAAATAGAAAAAAAATATACGTTTTCCAAAGCGTAAGAGGAAGAAGTAATACAATTGCTTAGAAAAACAAGAATTTTTTTAGCAATCATGGAATTTTTTTTAGTAGATCAGTTGAAAGACATTTCTCCTTGCAAGATTGGTTGTGTTTGCTGCCATTTCCATATGCAATAAAAAAGAAATACATGATTGCATATCATAACTACAAGAAAAAATATTCTTGATATCATTTTTAAAGTAATTAAGTTGGAATATATATATTTTTAAATTTCAATAGGTTAAGAACTTAAGATGATAATATATTTTTAATTAAATAAATTTTTTACTTTTTAATTTTGAAATTATTATTTTAAAAGCATTTATAAAGAAATTGTGGGAAAAATAAAAGGAGAAACTGATTTGCGTTTTTAAAGCAGGAAAAAATGAATATCACTTGATAGTTGATACACTCGATAAAGCCACCAGATAAATTACAGAGCCAACATTGAGGCATAACAGTCGCTACAAATAGTGCCACGCGTCCCTTAATTACTGTATCCTCTGTCGGTTCCCCTGCAGCCGGTGGAGCCACTGGACACGTGTCAGTCCCCATCATCTCTTTTTCTATCCCCACATCCGCCATCTCCATACAATACAATACAATACAATACAAGCTTTAAGTCCAACACTTTCCACACACTCCCACGCCATAATCGTTACATTTTTTTCCGGTTCAATTTCGCCGGAAAATCCGTGAATTCATCCTCTTTCTCATGCTTCCCAAATCAGTTAACCCCTCGCCGGAACCCCAACAATTCAGAAAACTCTCCGACCACAAAACCTCCCTCACAGCCTTACTCGGACCCCTTTTCTCCCCTCAAAACCCTCGCACATGGATTCTTTTTACCGTCATCTTCGTCCAGATCCTCATCCTCTGCAACCTCCGCAGCTTCCCAGCTTCAATTTCCATCACCCACCGCAGCCTCCCCCCTGCTCAAAACGCCTTCGTCGAAACATCAAACAGTGAAAACGGCACCGTTCAGGAATCTTCTCCAATTGAGCAGGACGAATGTGGGTCCGGCAGGGTTTTCGTCTACGACCTTCCCACAACCTTCAATCAAGAAATCCTCGACAATTGCGACAATCTCAACCCGTGGAGCTCACGCTGCGACGCACTCTCCAACGACGGCTACGGCCAGATGGCAACGGGGCTCGCCGGAATCGTGCCGGAGGATCTGCTTCCGGCGTGGTACTGGACGGACCAATTCGTCTCCGAAATCATCTTCCACAATCGCATGCTGAACCATAAGTGCAGAGTCATGGAGCCAGAATCGGCTACGGCGTTCTACATCCCATTTTACGCTGGACTCGCGGTGGGGAAGTACCTGTGGCTCAACTCCACCGCAGAGGATCGCGATCGTCACTGCGACATGATGCTGCGCTGGGTTCAGGAACAACCGCAATACAGAAGATCCAACGGTTGGGATCACTTCATTACGATGGGGCGCATCACATGGGATTTTCGCCGCTCCAAGAACGAGGATTGGGGTTCTAGCTGCATCTACAAGCCAGGGATGAGAAACATCACGCGCCTTCTCATCGAGCGTAACCCCTGGGACTATTTTGATATTGGTGTTCCCTACCCCACCGGATTTCACCCCCGTTCCCACTCCGATGTCTCTCGCTGGCAGAGCTTCGTCCGCGAGCGCCGCCGCACCGCGCTCTTCTGCTTCGCCGGCGCTCCGCGTCGCGCTTTCCCCAACGATTTCAGGGGAGTTCTGCTGAGTCAGTGCCGCGCCTCGGGCGGGTCGTGCCGATCCGTGAACTGCGCCGGGACACGGTGCTCGAACGGCACGTCGGCGATCCTCGAAACGTTTCTCGACTCGGATTTTTGCTTGCAGCCGAGAGGAGATAGCTTCACGCGCCGGTCGATTTTCGATTGCATGGTGGCCGGTTCGATCCCGGTTTTTTTCTGGCGGCGAACCGCGTATTTTCAGTATGAATGGTTCTTGCCGGGTGAACCGGGGAGTTACTCGGTTTACATAGACCGGAACGCGGTGAAAAATGGGACATCGGTGAAAGCCATTCTTGAGAGGTACAGCAAGGAGGAGGTAAGGAAAATGAGGGAGAAAGTGATTGAGTACATTCCACGGTTGGTTTATTCAAGGCCTAAACAAGGGTTACAAGGTACGAAGGATGCTTTTGATGTTGCCATGGATGGGGTCCTAAGAAGGTTTAGGGATCAAGAACAATCAGGGTTTAATAAGTGGAAATAAGATGGGGAATAAAATGCATGGAGTTAGATTTTGAAGAGATAAATAAATAAAAATATAACATATTTGTTTCAGGCAAATTTGGGAGAATAGAGGTTTTTTTCACTTTTTGTTTTTTCCAGGATTTACTTATAGATGTACAATGGGATGTACCATATTTATATTTTGTGATTCTTTGTAATATGATGAATTATACACTTATGGCTATTGATATTTGTTGGAGTAGAATATTTACAGAGAAGGTTGAGCAAATAAATAAATAAATAAATAAAATGGGCAAATGGGTTTTGTGAGGGTTACTCGCAGGGTATTTATGGGTTCAGTTTAGGAATAAACATATCCTTAATTTGGTTTTAGTGTTAGTTGTTGGGTTAAAATAAAAATATAATTGTTACTTTTTAGGATTTTTATTTTTATCAATTGCAATATAAAATGTTAATTTTTCTAGTTAGTCCAGTTTATTCCGGTGAACATACCAATTACTTATCTGGATTTCTGACCCGTTGTAAATCTGATCTAATAAACACTTCTAACTACTTGACAGACTTTTAAATAATAGTTGGTACTTGGTAGTTTGCCATATCTTTCACCACGCAACCTTGGACTGCTGCTTCAGGGTTTATTTATACTTCTCTGGGCATTCGTTGGATGGGAGAAACCGACAGAGCATCACAAAATAAAATGCTTTATAAAAACTACGTCTTGTATATATTATTATCTAATACTATTATTTTTGTGAGGAAAGAACGGTGTAGCTTAAAAGGGAATTGTACTTGGGACATTTGGGTGCCCGTATGTAGATTGAGCAAGACTCAATTGCTAATCCTATGGAACATGATTTTTCCAACCTCTATTCACCATGTCACTGTTATGATCTGCTTGGATTTGTAGAATAAATACATACTGTAGTGTATATGAACATCGAAATGTTAAAATGTGTGCCCTCCAATTTGAAAGAAAGTGTCTTGAAAGACGATGCCTTCAGAGTTCAGATAATTGGGGAATCTTTTCAATTTCTGTAGTGGCTTTGTGGGCCTTCAAGGGGTTAATAAATGAAGCATAAAAAATGGGTGGAATCTCCAGTCTATTTGTCCTCTGCCCCCTTATTAAACAAGCTGCCAATATGTAAGAATAAAGTGCTATTAAATATACACAACTCGATTGTTTAAGACCTGTAGCCTGTAGGATTACTAAAGTTCATTAGAAAAATAAACGAAAAGCAATTCACGTAACCTTTCCATTATTTCCATGGGGGCTCTTTTAGGATGATGGAATCATCATAGTATGGACACGCAAAAGTAAAACAAATCATGGTGATGAAAGTGACACTGTATTAGTCTGTTTCTTGTGTGGGATTTTGGGCAAGTTTAATAAATCTATCAAACCTTTATTTGTTTGTTTTAATGGTTAGATTTCCTTATTAAACTCAAGCAGAAGTTTATTAAGGAAAAATTGTAATCTCTTTAAGATTTGTCAATTGATAGTATTGTAGATATGTAACAAGAGTGCAAGAGTTCAAATCTTGTAATGCACTTTTGCCTGTGTCTATCTTTTTAAATGACAAACACCAAACTCATATTATAATAGGATTTATCATCTATCATTTAATATGATCACAAAAAGTTTTCTACACACACAACATTTTGTGGGGCTCACAGCAAAAAAAAAAAAACTTCGGCACGCAAAACGAATTTCTATAACATAACACAATCACTTTTCTTACCACATAACTCTTATAAAACCCATTATAATATACCAATTCTACTACTTTTACCATCACATTTTATTTCAAATGCTACTTCGCTTTTAGTTCAATTGTTATGCCAATAACTTATTTAAGTTTTCATTTATTTGAGTTTTGATTCTCTATCCTTTGTATCTTTCAAGCTTTCTTTCTTCTTCATCCTCTAGTTATTTTTTTTTTTATTTTAAACTTTTAAAATGAAATTTTTTAGGAATTAAATGCAAAAATAAAATAAAAAATCATGTATGTCTCATATATGATTAGGCCAATCTTATTATTGAGGTTATATTCTTTACATTCATATAAAAATGAAAAATAATAATTATTCAACATAATCAGTATATATTTTAATCCTTTTTACAGGAGTAATTAAAATTTATTAATTTATGTCAGACTAGAAAGAACCCACATAATTAGTCACATAAGCAAATTATAAGTCTAGTTTATTTATTTTTATATATGTATCACTTATTTTTTTACATAAACAAATTTAAACTTTTGCTTATTTTATAAGGCAATAACTATATATATAGTTTTTAGTATATATTTATATGACATTAGCAATATATGATACAATAATTCTTAAGTAAAAATAGGAAAATGCATTTGAATAAAATAAATACTAGTATTTTACAATATAATATATTTTTAGGATATGGTAAATTCGATTTTACAAGTTATAAGGATGGTGAAAAGTAGTTTTAATTGATGTTTAATTATTTTACTGTAGTAATAATATAATAGTAAAGTTAGAGTACTAGACTTTAATTGAAGCAATTAAAGGAAATCTAAATTCAAGAGAGGAATTGTAAAACAAAAATAAGTATGACTCACATATCAATATTCCTATCTTATTATTCAGGTTATAATCTTTAAATTTATACAAAAATGAAAAAATAATTATTAAACATAGTTAAGGATAGGTTTGTGTGCTTATCTGATGCATTTATATAGGTAATGGTTGCATTAGAATTTAGAAAAAAATGATGCTTGTTACTTAATTGCAGCTTTTATTTGCCCGAGTAATTTTTTTTTTGTCAGGTTAAGATAATGCGGAATTTCAGTTTTGATGTTTAGGATAATTTCTGCAATACAATTGTTTTATTTTTTTATTCTCAGATCATAGATCATGATATGTCTAAGAGGTATTGAATTTGATCACACACTGTTAAACCTGGTTCTATTTGGGTCTGTGATGAGTGTGCAACAGAGTAATCTTTGTCATGGGATACTCCTGCGGAATTGTTGCGCTGGTGCTGGAAAGCTTTGCTTGTTTTATTTGATCAAAGCGGGATGTCTATTTATAGGTAGCTAAAATCACATGTTTGTCCTTTAGCCATTGACAGTTAGGGATGCTGAGGAACTTTGAGTTGCTATTGTCACAGTTGTACGATGGATGTGTTTCCTTACTTCTTAAGTCATTGTTATTGAGCTTCTTGGGCCATAAATGAGTTGGACCCTATATCATGAGAGTATGTGTTCATATTAGTTGCCTCCCAGTCTGTTGCTCATGCCGCTAGCATGAAGAGTGAGATGCATTATCAAGAGGGATCATTCCATGTGTGTAGCATAATGAAATTTTGTTGGATTACCAATGGCTAAAGTTGGTAAAGCCACTTCACCGCTTAAGAAGTGATTTAATAGATTTCATTTCGTCAACTAATCATAATAGTTTAAGACGTGTCTTATATTATTTTCAATCAACTTCTTTCATCTTTTAAAATGTTCAAAAGCTTTAACTTTTCATTGTTCCATCTTCTACATTTTTACATTTTTACCCTCAGTAACTTTTCGTATATTTTTACCTGGGGAAAATGAAGAGAAACTTTGTACCAAAAAAAAGTGAGGGAAACTTAATTGATTATTTGATTTAGTGGTTTGATTTTCATTGAGAGTAAAAACTCTCCCTCTAGTTTTATGGTTGTGCTAAGATGAATTGCACTCTTGTGGTTTATAATCAGGTGAGTTGTATTTTCTTCATCGTGAGCATTCTCTAGCACTATGCTTGAGGTTCACGCAAATGAAGCAAATGTTATGACTTATTAGACAGGGTTTATTTTGGTGAGGCTTTCCACACTTAGCACAATTACCATTCTATGACCCAATCCAAACTTTTTTTCTTTTAGAAAAAAATATTATTTTTGAACCTCTTATTTTTGTTTGAGATCTCCCCTTCCTTTTTCCTCTTCCAAAATAAATGTTTTTGTTTTGGAACATGCATAATGCGACATTTGTTGACGAGAGTGGGGTACTTGCGTACTTCAAAAAGCTTTAACTATATGTTATGCCATGTGACATGCCTGAGGCACCAAACTTATTGTCTGACTAGACACACTGCTGTCACACAATATAAAACTCGCTAGGAGAAGTAGCGAGTTTAATGTGATTCAAAATTTAGGATATTTTATTGTAAAACTTTGAAAAGTGCATAGCTCCCTAACAATTACGTGGAATAAAAAAAAAGCACCTGATTCGGACATCCGAGCCAAAAGTTATGACATTCAAAAGTTTTACGTTAAAACTACTAAAATTTGTGCCACATTAAACTCGCTGCTACTCCCAGCGAGTTTCAGACTGCCTGACAGAAATATGACTGGTTTGATCACCAAACTCGCCGTTAGTGGCAGCGAGTTTGGTGGACTCAGGTTTCGTGCCATGTGGCAAACCATACTTGCTACAACTGCCAGCGAGTTTGGAGCCATGACAGTTTGGCAACTTTTCTGGCTCGCGTGGCATTTAGGCACTTTTTTTTAAAAAAAGGTGGCAGTAAAGTCAATGTACCACATTATAATAACCTTTTATCGTCATTTCGACCAGGATTATATTGGGAGTGGGAGAATTCGCAATGAGGGTGTTTCTACTTGCTCACGCCAAGAATTAAAAAATCTAACTAGCTGGATTAATAGTGTAATCAAGAAAGAAGAGCCCCACAACTTATCCATGATGCTCTTGACTGTGCTTCTACTTGTTCCATCTCTCTTTGTTGTTATATAGTAGTGTATATGGTTATGGAAATGGAAGAGAATATATTTCTAAATAGTGTTTTTTTTTCTGTTGATGGAGAAAAAAGGCAGGACCAAAACTTCAAGATGGAGTAAAAGTACACGGGAAGTAAAGATTACACTCTGATTTACATTTTGTTAGATTGTTACTTGTTTGTCATCACTATACCATAGATGCATTTCAATCATTCACAGGTTGATTTTTCTATTCTGAATAGGTAAAGGTCTATTTCTATACGTAACTTTCATGTTCTTATGTGAATTCAAAAGTTGTCACGGACATTAAATTAATGCTTCAAACTATTTATTGAACATATGAAATAGGCAGCACTTAAAGAAAAACAACCATATTGTCTATCGTATGTGGGGATTTTTTTTGTTAATTATATGATTATAGAATTATTTTTATTACCTTTGATAAGGACTTTGTGTTTAATTTTCTTTAATTTTTAAATTGATCGTACTTCCACCTTTTTTTAAAAAAAAAGTGCCTAAAGATCATAGGGGCCAGAAAATTTGGCAAATTGCCAAAACTCCAAACTCATTATAATTGTTAGCGAGTTTCGTTATGCCACGTGACACATTGCCTAAGGTCACTAAACTGGTTGCCAGAGA